TATCATTGCAAACGAATCACTCTCTATGAACTAATCTTTCGCCGTGAACAAATCTTTCGCCGTGAACTAATCTTTTGCTGTGAACTAATCACTCTAAACGGATCATTCTCTGTGAACTAATCTTTCGCCTCGTTCTCGCAGATTCGTTTCATTTGTCACGTGAAAGAGCTCGGGTCTTTTTTGCTCTCATTCATCTTCACATTGTGGTGTGTTTTTATTTCTTAGCTTTTCGCATGGTTTTAATTGCTTATGGCATTTTGTGTACTTTGTAGACTTTGTCAGCTGAAGCAAACTATGTTGCCTTATTTGGTGTCGGAGAACCGCAGCCTTCTTTACAACGCCCACAATAGGGCTAAAGCGCCACCTGCTGTAAAACGAATGAAATGATTAGTTCAAGATTCGTTCACGACTCGTTCATTTTACTGTTCGAGAGTCAAAGATTAGAATCAATAAAAAGACTCGGTCTTCCCATCACTATCATTATGCGATGCGGAATCGAATCTGTATTCCTGTTTCCGAACTGACTTTCGACACTCTTATTTTGTAATTCTCGGAAACAGAACAATTAAAGTTGAAACTCACTGGGCCTGGTTGCTGCCATGTTATGCGGGAGTTACATGGTGTATGCAAAACAGTAGCGTGTATTTATGTGTGGTTTGTTGCTGGTGAAAGTACCACAGGGGCTACATGAGCGGATCAGAGCTGCCGCGGAGGACTTCCTGCAGCAGGTGGAAAAGGGGAACGAGAGAACGCTGAGAGAGCTGCTCACAAAACGGCTAAAGGCGAAGGAAATGCGCGAATCCGCAACTCAGTAGCAAGACAGCCTTGAGAGGTCGGAGCTGTAGACCTGCCGCCAAAGTAGGCCGAGATGAAGCCCGAAGTCAGGCTGCACACAGCAGGTCAGTTCCTTCTAACTGGAGCCACTGCGTTAGCTCCTCTTTGCTAGCCAGTCTAAGAGTTGCATTCGTAGCTACATGCTGTCTGCATGCTCTGACGTGGCCGCCATGTTGGTCAGGGCAGGAGCAGAAACGTAAACAACATAGTAAACTATACGCTTTACGTTTGACTTAATTATTTTTATATTGACTGAATGGATTCAACAACTGATGAACATTAAATCTAATTGATGGTATAATTACAAACATTTATTTGTAAAAAAAAAAAAATCAGTTACGACAATATCTAGAGTTTTTATGAAATGCACAGAAACGTGAGATCGCTTTAATCGTTTGTTTAATTGTATGTTGCCACGTATCAAACGTATCTATTATTTTGGTTTGGTTTTTTTTCGTGTTTAAATTGAAATAATATACACAGATTGGCAATGAATGAAACGGACATCCCATGGTGCTGGAGGCACAAGCCCAACGTTTACTCACAAATCACTTATGATTCATTTTGGCCTCTGTACTTATCTGTAGAGGTGTGGGTCCAGTTAAGTCCAGTCAATTTTAATTTGTACAGTATATCCCAAATTCACAAACCATAGTTGTCTCAATTGACTTCATACTTTTAAATTTTAAATTAGGACTATCCTCCTAAAACCCATATAATGGGAAGCGGATCAGACTAATCCATCATTGTGTGATGCTTTATGTGGAAGACAACTTTGTTTGCATTCACCGGTTGTACACCATACATTAGATTGTGCTATATTCGCTTTCTTTCGTTTAAGATTTTCTTCTCTGAGATTCTGTTTGTTTTTTATATCCTTGATTATGATATCATCACTGTGTCAGCGTCCACTGTAAATCCCTATAACTCAATTGAACTTAAAAAATGTGGTGAACCTGATTACATAAATATTTTTTAATTAAAATCTACCTACATATTTTAAGTAGCCTTAACTAATTAAAATCTACCTACATATTTTAAGGTGCCTTAACTTAAAAATGTAAAAAATTAAAGAAACTATCAAAAATTCAGTCTTCTTCACCATGTCAAAGATAGTTTGGCAGCATTTAAAAAAAAAATAGATAACAGGAAAAAAGTTGAAAACTACAAACCTGAAAACGGTAAGCTAACCTGTCTGTGTTAGAGTGCTTGTGCGTTATCTAATCTGGTGTAAACAAGAACATGGAGTGAAACTAGTGTCGCTGTGCAGCGAAACTGTATTAAGTGCTAGTGTGAAAACAGCATTTGAGTGCAACATTAACAAATTTTTTAAATTGCAATTTTTAGCGCTAGGAACGTTTAGGCATCTTCCACTCGACACTGTGACTCTGTCTCGCTCGCTGTCCCTCGCTGGGTTATTTTACCTGTCGCTTTATTTCTCTCTTTTCCTTTCTCTCTGTCTCTCTCTCTCTCTTTCATCTAAGTCGAGTACTCCCAGTCCTCCTACGCTTAGTGGCGCCGTCTCACTCACTGTCACTCGCTGTGTTATTACCCATTTTTTAAACAATAATATAAAATGTTTTTTATTATTTCTCGCTGTGTTATTACCCATTTTTTAAACAATAATGTAAATTTTTTTTAATTATTATTTTTATTTTATATGATCAAAACATTGTTTATATCTATATTTTTGATGTTCAAAGCATGTGGAAAAAAGTAGAGGCTTGTAATCCGGAAATTACAGTAATCTCCAAACTGGATGAAATCGATTTGAATGTGTAAAATACTACTATAAAGTTCTACTTTAAAGTCTCTCTACTCTCTCCTACAGGTGACCAACAGCTGTTGGTTATTAAAGAAGAGGTTTTTCCTGAACAGAGAGAGTGGAAAACTGATGTGAAACAAGGGCCAGGTTGCCCTGACATTAAAGAGGAAGAGGAAGAAGTGCACATAAAGGAGGAGAATGAGGTCATTGCTGTGATTGTGAAGAGCGAGGAACATGAAGAGGAACCTGAGTCTTCACAGCTTTATCATCAGAGTCACCTTGAGAAGATCAAAGATGACTGGGAAGGGTCAAATCCAGCAAGGAACTTAGGTCCAAATCAGGAATTGGGGCCAGTCAGTGAAGAGGAGTATGAAGACTGTTCTAATACTGAAAACAGTGAAGATGATTGGAAAGAGACCAGTGAACCTGTAATGAATAAAACAACTTCTAATGATACTGTGGGTGACATGTATCAGAAACTCAGTCCTGAATTTAAGAAAGCAATTGCCTTCAAGTCAAATATGCTACAACAAAAAGAAAGGGAAGAGAAGCCATTAATTTACTACCATTGTCAGAAAGGTGTTAATCAGAAGAGCAGCATAAAGGTACAAGAAAAAATTAATTCAAAAGAAAAACTATTTTGTTGTAGCTACTGTGAGAAAAGTTTCATTAACAAAAGTACTTTGAGGAAACATGTAAAAATTCATACAGGAGAGAAACCTTTCAGTTGCCCTGTTTGTGGTAAATGTTTTATTACTAAAAGTGCTCTTACAAAACATGAAAAGATCCATACAGGAGAGAGACCATTCGGTTGCACTTACTGTGGGAAAAGATTTATTATGAGAAACACTTTGAGGAGACATGAAAAAATCCATACTGGCGAGAAACCTTTTGGTTGCTCTTACTGTGGCAAAAGGTTCACGTTGGAAGCTGACCTGAGGAGACATGAGAAAATTCACACAGGGGAAAAACCCTTTAGCTGCTCTTTTTGTGGAAAACGTTTCACTCAAAAGGGGAAGCTTATAATGCATGAGAGAGTTCACACGGGAGAGAAATTATTTAGTTGCACTGAGTGTGGTAAAAGATTTGTCCATAAGTGCACACTCAAGTCACACATTAAAATGCATACAGACAAGAAACCAATTAGTTGTACTGAATGTGGGGAAACATTTATTGATAAGCGCAGCTTGAAGGTACATGAAAAAATTCATACCGGAGAGAAGCCCTTCAGTTGCTCTGAATGTGGGAAAAGGTTCATCAAACCCTCACATCTTAAGTTACATGAAACAACACATACTGGAGAAAAACCTTTTAATTGCTCTTATTGTGGAAAAGGCTTTGTTAAAAAAAGTAACTTGAAAAGACATGAGATAGTACATACAGGAGAGAAACCATTTACTTGTTCTAACTGTGGGAAAAGATTTGCAGCAGAGACAGATCTTAGAAGACATGAGAGAATTCACACCGGAGAGAAACCGTATAGTTGCTTAGAATGTGGCAAGAACTTTACCGAAAAGGGGAAACTGAAAATGCATGAGCGAATTCATACAGGAGAGAAACCCTACAGTTGCACTGAGTGTGGGAAAAGATTTGCTCATAGACTCTATTTGAACTCACATCTGAAGATTCATACAGGAGAGAAAACGTTCAGTTGCTCTTACTGTGGAAAAAGATTTATCCAGAAGGGTGCTCTGAGGACACATGAGCGCATTCATACCGGAGAAAAACCGTTTAGTTGCTCTGAATGTGGAAAAATCTTTGCTCAACAGAGCAGCCTAAGAAGACATGTGAAAATACACGAAAGAAGAGTTTAGTTGCCCTGCACCACAATAGGATCTCATGATGAGAATTGTTTTTGAAAAGAATTGCAATATCTTAAGTAGTTTTAAATTATTTAGTGTAGGGCACTTGCTTTTTTACTCTTCAAATGGCCTTATCTCTTGTCAAAAGAATATAGAGTTGGAGGTATATGAGCCCAACTTTACATTTTACAACCTGGAAATTGTTGTTGTTTACTTTCTTTCGAATTTAGATTTGGGATAAGGTAAAGAGCCTATCCACAATGCTACACATGCTCTTAATAAATATTTCAATATTTATTTATCTCTTGTGTTAGCTCTTTTTTTTTTCTGTTAGCTCAAGTTTTAATCGGCATGAAATCATCCATTCATCCATCCATCCATCCATTTTCACCCGCTTATCTGTTACTGGGTAGCGGGAGCAGCAGTCTCCATGACCCCCACCCAAATTATACTGCCCCGTACCAGACCCTCGTGAACCTTCCTGTCGGTGGTGAGTCCACCAGAAGGCGCCAAACCTGGCACCCTAACTGGGATTTGATCTTGCCCAGGAGGTGAACCCTGGGTTTCCACACCAATGACAGAGACATTGCCTCTGGGCCAAAGCACCACTGGCATGAAATCAGTCATGGCTTTTAAGTTGAGAGTTCTATTTTTAAGTTAACCATAACGTGGATTTTGGAGCCAAACTACTTTTTTTTTTGTGCGTTTCTGTTTAGTTTTTAAACAGAAACATCCACAAATGTAAGCAGGATTTTCTGTGTATATTCTGTATGTAATGTCTTGAATGTATAAAAGTCAGTTTTCCACAAAGTAACTCTAACCGACCATTGTAAAATCCTAAATGTATATACATGCAAGATATCAGACTCTACATAGTATAGAGTATATTCGATTTGAGCAGGGTGGGATTGCATGTTCTAATCATTGTTAAACTTTGTTTTCTTGGGAGAAAAAAAAAAAGGTAATAGCTTTGACATTGTATGACGTCTTAAAATATACGGACCCAGAGTTTTTGATTGCCTCAAGGTTTATTAACATTACTTCCTGACTTAATATGTTGCTCCTGTTTTTTGAGGGCTAAGGTTACAATTTACTATGTTAATTATGCCTATTATGTATGGAATTTACTATTGCGGGTTCATTTGCATTGATGTGATTAGGTCATGCTTTATTTGGCCCCCCAGCTTTTTTTTTATTTTGTTGTTTTGATGGTGGATAAATAAATTCTAAAAAGTACAATCGTAATATGCATAAATAGTTAGATAAACCATTATGTTGTAATGGGATAAACATTAGGATTCCACCAAGACAATTCTTGCTATTCAGAGTGCCAGAGTTGTGTTGTGTGATTAAAACAGTTCTCCCCTCTACTCTTACTAACATAGTACACCCCCGTGGATGTATTTCCACATCCAGTTGCCTAACAGAACTCCTCAACCTATAATCGGGCTCTTATTTTGAAACGGCTGCGAACACAGTGGATGGTAGCTCTATCCAAGTTTCAGCCATCTTAATAGTGAGCCTAGATGTGATTTTAACGTCAGATAAACATTGACATGTGCGCTCTGTAGCTGATACACGTGTCGCTACATGAATGTATCAGTGTGGTCGAGGTATACTCTCAGCGTAGAGAACGGAGGAAAAACGGCTCGGGGTTAGCCGCTAAAGGGCCAACGACGGAGGACATGTTCGCTGTACTTGAGACCGTGGCGCAGCACGAACACCACAGGGTGGACCGGGACAATTGCTGTCAGAGGAGAACGTTCGATGCCAACCTAAAACCCAAAGTCAGGCTGCACAAAGCAGGTCAGACCCTGCATAAGTACCCGAGCTCCTTTTTGATAGCTAAGCTAATGCAATACAGCCCCTGCTGCATGCTCCCGTAGACGCAATACAGTATATACAGTCTATTGTCGCCACAAGTCAACACACGACAACGTTAGTAGTAAAATAAATAAAAGAGTGGCACATTTTCAAGATAATATCCAAAATAAACTTTCGTTTATCACGTCTTTAAACTCTGGGCCGTCTTGTAAACATGTCAGAATTAAAATGAATAGAATTGACGAATGACAGTTTTTATTTATTTATTTTTATACATTCATTTTGATTAGCTAACATTTGAGAAGTAGACAAACGTTTTAAGAGAAATTGTTTTTCTTGGCTTCTGCAGACGACCAGAAGCTTTTGGAACTTAAAGAAGAGGTTCTGCCTGAGCAGATGGAGTGGAGGTCCATCAACCAAGAGGAACCTGAACCGCTCAAATG